AATAAGTTATCTATTTTAAAAAGGATGCCACAACAACGTAATTCATAAACATAGGAGAAAACCAATCTTGGACAAACTTTGAATAAGGGAATTATTATTTACACAAATAAAGGTTTTTAGAGATCTACATGAACACATTAAAAAATTACAACTGCCCAATTATAAAAATTTTTCAAAATTTTGGAATCTATATTGATGATATGATCTTTTTCTCTACCTTTAATTAAATGTCCTAGGCTGAATTTGTCAAATTTGTTAAGCATCTTTTGTTGTCATGAAGCTTAGAAATGTTATAGTAAGCAGTACAACGAAAAATATGTCTATTACCAGAATGTTGATTGGCATTGTGTTTCTTAGGAATTAGAGCAATGAAAGAATGATTGACCATGCACGATCTTGACATAGGAATTAGAGCAATGAAAGAATGATTGACCATGCAGTTTCTTTTTTTTTTTTTTTTTAAAGAAGGATTGCACGATCTTGACAAATTGGCCACCAACAATGTCTTAAAGTGCCTTTGAAGAATTTAGTGGTAAAATTATTTGAATCTGGGAATTCATTGTTCCCCGTGTTAGAAATTTCCTTGATGTCAAGGTCAATAAAGGGTACAAGTAAGCATCTACTAATTCAACTCCAAAGAATTTTCGTAAGGATATTGTTGAATTCAGGATTATGGATGTCAGTGATGTAATGCTGACTGTAGAGGGAGGCAAAATAGTTCTGTAGATATGTCTTGAACCAAGTTGACAATACTTTTGGGAATATGAATCCCTTTAATACAGTTATGAGGACCTCTATCCTTGATCTTTTGATAAAGAAATTCAAGGTTTTCTTCACCACTAGAAAATCTCTCTTTAGAACTTTGAGAAGTCTGATCAAACCCATTGGAGAAGGCTTTAATGAGATTGTATTGAATAATTTTGGCAATAGAAGATAAAGATTTAGAGGATTATGCTCAAGAAGTTAGAACAAATTGTCTCGCTCTATGAGTTATTTAATAGAATTAGTAACAAAGTATGCCTAGCCACGTCTTTAGCCTTATGCTTGTATATGCAATAATATGAGGACGGGTCTCCAACTTCAATATGATTAACCTAAGCATTCTGAATGTTATTTGTAAAACCAACATTGTTTATCCCATTGACATGGGAGCTAGGGGCTGAACTGCCCCAACCTGGTTTAGCAAGGAGGTTGTCGGTTTAACTGGGAGGATGAACCGACCGAACCTTGCTCAGGGTTTGGAGTTGCTGCTGCCCAAAGGGAGGGGTTCTCTCCTTCTAGTTATCTTTTTTTATAAATATTCACGGTTTGGAGCTGCTGCTGCCGAAGGGGAGGGGTTCACCCCCATCTGCCACTGCCTGCCCTTCCAACAACCATAACTCATGTCACAACCTACATAACCAACTTCCATGGGTTGTTGAGCCGGATTCAATGCCTTTCGTCCTTGCTCTAGGTTCTCGCTTGTGATTTGCTATTTTATTCCTGTTTTAAGAACTTTTGTTGTGATTCCTTAGAATTTTCAGTAATAATATTCACGTTTTATTTTTTTTTTTTGGTTAATTCTGATATCATTTTATATGAGAGCTAACCCAACCCTAGTCCAATCTTAGGGGTTCTTAGCATCCACCTGCCCAAACCACCCCCACCCAAAATTTTGTTTCCCATCCTCAACCACAACTTCTAATCGCCAAACCCTAATCATGCCACCAAGGAGATACATGTCAGAATCTAACCAAGACGTGATACAATGAGAGATCTGTCGGCTTCAACAGAGGTTTGTGAAGATTGAAGATGGAAACTAGGGAAAATTACCCTTGATCGTGATTAGAGAGTTGAAGAGGAGAAAGGGACAATGATGTGAATCTCTTCCATAGGGATGACTTCAGTGGTGTGAACGACATACCTCAACGCTTTGGAACTCTGTATCAGAGGAGTTCGGGAGAGGAGGCTACATATGAAAGACAGGAAGTTTTGGCATCAAAGTCGACTTATCGGAGTTCAATTGAGGTATTGATTTTGACGATTTCATCGAATGACTACAATCAGTTGAGAGGATATTCGAGTACAAAGAAGTATCAGAGGATAAAGGGTGAGCTTATACTTATCAAGTTGAAGAAGAGCTTCTCCTCGTTGTGGGAAAACTTGCAGAGACAGAGAAAGTAAATGTGCACTGACAAGATTCCCAAGTGGTAGAAGATGAGGAAGGAGATGCAAAGAAAATACGCACGACCTCATTACCGCAATGAAATGTTTCCGAGACTCTGCCAGATGAAGTGTTGGTCGAGCTAGAGGAACATATCATAGCCTGTTATCTATGGGGCCTAAAGCTCGCTATCAGCAACATTGTGCAGTTACAGTCATATTGGTCACTGAAATATGTCCAAATCTTAGCTTTGAAGTTGGAAAGACAATAAAAATAGAGTCGACAACAACCCTTAGTATGACAACCGTCTTTATTCAGGCAATCACCTACAGCTACAACCCCCAAAAGAGTACCTCTAGGGGAGTTGGAAAGAAAAGATAGGGAAGTGTTAAAAAAGATCTGAGTGAAAAGGTAGCTTGCCTATTACAATACCTGCCAGGAGATGTTTCAAATGCGACGGCTACTGTCACATAGCCTCCAACTATCCCATGAGCTAAGTTGTTCCATTCATGGAGCATGGCGTCGTCAAGGAAGTGGACGAAGAGGAAGCAAAGGAGAATATAGAGGAGGAAATTCAGCTCCAGGGGGACTAGGGAGAGATGCTAGTCATACATATAGCTCTAGGGATAGGGCCAGAAAAGGATTTTTCATGGCCAAGGCAATATTTTTCTCACCAAGTGCATGTGAAGGCAAGATTTTCATTTTGATTATTGATGGTGGGAGCTGTGAGAATGCACATTTTACATTGATTGTTAAGAAACTGAGGTTGGCATCACAGAAGTATCCTCAACCCGATTCAAGAAAAAGGTTGTCGGTTTAGTAGGGAGGCTGGTTTCCTCCCTCCTAGTTATCTTTTATTTTAAATACATTGTTTTCCTTTTAAGGATTTAGTTTTTCCTGATTTTAAAACTCGTTTCGTCGGTGTTTCTTTCTTGTTATGTTGTATCTGAGGTGGTACTCCGACTGTATCCTACGCCTCTCTCTTCTGCCGCCAACCTCTCTTGCTCCCCAACTTACCACTGCCAGGCCTTCCTGCACTCCCCCCTTCTGCCGTCAACCCCTTCTGAACCCCAACCTACTGCCGTCCACCCTTCCAGCACCCCCATCTGCTGCCACCAGCCTTCCTGCTCCCTCAAACTACTGCTGTCACCCAGTTCCAGCAACCCTGACTTCTGCTGCAGCATCCTAAACCACCATCCACTTGCTGTCCAATCAGGTTCACCTACTTCCATCCTCACCCTTGCGGCTCGTTTGTGCTTTGTACCATTTTTTTCTTGTTTTAAGAAACTTTGTTGTGATTTCATTTTATTTTCAACAATAATATTCATTTTCTGTTATTTTTCGGTTAACTCCGGTATTACCCATAATTTTAAAAGAAATTTATGTGTAGTATGAGGAACATTGCACATGGTAATAAACAGGGGATGTGATCAGAGCAACGTGGAAAAAGTATGTTTACTCTATTTTTTTTTCTTCCTCTTCTTCTCCAATGCATGTGGGGTAAGTGGCTTAGTTTTCTCGGAAAAGAACCTATTCCTAGAGTAGAATCAAGAAAAAATCTTCAGGATAAGGGCATTTTTTTCATAAGAAATTAATTTCATTCAAATTTAAGTTATAGGCTTATACCAGCTAAATAAAGGGTTTTTTGACACAAAAAAAGTAGATCTATTTCTGGACTGGAAACAAAGCCAAGGTGCCATGGTAAATCTCACAAAATGCTAGGGACTAATGTGGAATTATTAACATTGTGGAATCCTTTTATATTTCTTATGTAATCATTTGGATACATTGACATCGTGCTTATTTCTATTTTAATCGATTGAGAACAAAAATGTAATATCCATTCTTGAATCACCTTATATGCTCATTGACAATAAAAATGTATATGCTTGCAATATGATTAGCATCGTGATTTTGAATGTTCAGCAATATTGTGTAGTCAGGATTAGTACTTGGTTCATTCTTTTTCTATGCTAAAATGTAGCAACCTTATTATCCATGTCCAGCGGAATTTCATTTCTCCTTAAATGGTTAAGCAGAATTTTTCTCTTCTCTTGGTACAAATTCAAAATGATTCCATTTCACTTATTGACATGTCCATTGAGTGCATTCGGGCTGTGATTACGACTTTATATACTTGAGATGTTTTTATGATGCTAATAATAAACATGGTGAAATCTATTGTTTGGTATCACCACAGCAAGATTTCCTGGAAATAATACCCTGTAGTCATCCAGCACCTATTGGTTTTACACTCTGCTACTCAATAAAATGCTAAGTTGTATCTTATAAGTTGGTTTTTCATTTCTACTGAATTATAGGATCTCGTAAGTAGAGTTAATGATATTTCTCCTGAAATGAATGTTTATGATTAGTTGATAGAGGTTTGCACGTCTCAGCCTGCACTTCTTAAAACTGCAACATAGCTTATATTAAGATTGTATTCACTACTTTTGAATTGGGGTACAGTCTTTGTCATTCCGTCGTTGTTAGTTTATTACTTATTTATTTATTTAGGCACATGAGCACAGCTGAATGTACTAAGCTTTGAACACAAAACCTTGTGGTAGATGACACAGGCTGCACGAGTGTGCTCATTAATTCTATCCCCATTCCATCATTTTTATGTGAAATGATGTTTTTTGTAACCTTTCAGTATTTATTTGTCGCAGTTGTTGGGTGGATTTAATTTCTTTAGTGGTGTATTTAGCTGTGTTTTCCAAATTTTAGGGGTATGGCCAATGCTGATGAGTTTGATGCATATTTTACTGAGTTGAATGATTTTTTTGGTGCTTTATTTATCAAATTTGTGCCTGCTTATTTATCATCAATGTGCTCTGTATAATCTTTTTTGCAGGAACCCACGTTTATATTACCAGCCAACAAATGCCAAATAGTTATAACGAGAGTTCCCATGCAAACGATGGTGTGGATGTTGGCCAATGGTCTTCGCCCCAATATCTGAACATATTTAACCAGACTTCTAGTACAGTACCTCTTGGAGAGCAAGTAAATACTAGAGGTGTTGACCAACAGGGTTCTGCTTCTGGTTCTCAAACAGAACAAGAAAGTACTGAGATGAATTCTGAATTAAACGATGCATCAGTATCTGTGAATGATCAGGGGGTGTTATTCTCTCATTACCTTCGCCACCTAATGCCATTATTAACACAAGAAACAGCTGTTTCACAAGATGCTTTGACTGTTGACTCAAATTTATTGATCTCAGACGTAAGGAGCCTTTGTTTAGTTTCTTGAGATTAACACTGTTCTGCAACGTCGACTGGTTAATTAACTACAAATGATAAATTCTTACAGGCACAGACGGTGGATTTGAATGATCCAAGTAACTCCCAACATAAAAGAGATCCATTTGAACCACCAAGTGCAAAGCGCCATAAGGTATCCCTCATTGATTCTAGATTCCTTTTTCCTTTTATTTGTTTGAACAAAAGTTAGTTTATTTTGTTTTAAGAGGTCTATCTGCAATATATTGTTACAGATTAACCAGAAAATAATCAGCAACATGACTATGATTTGAAATTTTACATGTTATGCCATATGCGTATACTGAATAATATCTTAAAACATCCATTTTTTTAGAATTCAATTTAGTTATACATCAGGAGAGAATTTGTAGAAGTGTGGAACTTATTAACTTTTAATTAACTTTTATCATCCTGTGGTCAAATTTTGTTGTTCATTTTTTTGTTTTACTTAAAATTTCTGGACACTTCATGGTTCATTTCGATCATAGAACTAGTTGATTAGGTGATACGGGGCTCATGGAGGGGGGCTGACTGGTGCAGGTCCAACCCAACTGGACTGGCTGGCCACTTGGAGTGGGGCCCAACGCCCCCTCCTTCCTTTTCCCTTCCTTTTCTTTCCTTTCTTTCTTCTTCCTATTTTCCTTTCTAGGCCTTCTCCTAATTTAAAACCTTTCTAAAAGTTTATATCCTATTTTTAATCTTCATTTCTAAAAATCTGAAATCTGATTTTATTTCTTTATCTATTTTAAAAGTCATGCCTTAATTCTTCTATTTTAATGTTTCTTTATCTATTTTAAAAGTCATGCCTTAATTCTAAAATATGATATTATTCATTTTCTATTTTAATGTTTTCTAATATTGTGTCTTAAGTTTTTTTATAAATAGGAGTCCTCGTGTCTAGCGTAGGGGTCAATGTTTTGAAAGCTGATTTCCGTTTGTCTGAATATTTTCCCTATCGAGGGTTGTATCCGACGACAAGAAATGTGCTTAGGCTGTAAGAGGTAGCGTTTATCTTCGCTATCTTGATTCCGATAAGCAGGCTGCGCAGCCCGCCGACATTCCCGCATATCTCCAGCACAGCCGGCCACTTCACCATCAGCCCAGCACCGCAAAAACCTGTTGTTTCCTCCGCTTCTCGCCATGTTCCTGCAGCTTCCTTCCAGGATTGCAACCACCCAGTTGCTGTCTAGATCACCGCTGATCCCTCTGCAGCTCCACTGCAGGTAGCCGCAGCCTCCTGCTGCCTATCCAGTCAACCATCCGGCTGTTCCTCTCCCTCCCTGCCCTCTGCTGCCTCATTCCCAGCAGGTCGCAGTCTTCTTGAAGCCCTCCCCGCACCTCCCAAAGCTGCAACGCGCCCCCACTGCAACGCGCCCCCACCTGCAGTTCACAGCCTCTACCGCCTCCCTCACAACAGGTAGCAGTCCTTAGCGGCCTTCCCAGCGCATTAGCTGTAGCCCCAGCCTTCTTGTAGTCCTCCGCCGCGAATGCCTCTACTTCTCGACTTCGGCAGCCATCCGTGCCTCCGCTCGTCGGCTTCGACCACCTTTCTGCACCATATCCGGATTCCGTTCTTCATCGTCATTCCCCGCTTCCCCCAGCTGCGGTTCGACGCCTCGACAAGTGCTGATTTACTTTCATCCGACATCGCTTCGGCCATCACCGCAGCCTCGCCCGGACACGATCTCTCCGGACTCCTTCATTGTCTAGCTTGTTGTGTCTTTATGTGTTGAGTTTTTGTTGTAATGTTTGATTTATGTTTTGGTTTGTGTAGTGTTTTCCTTTCTCTTGAGTCATCGTTGTAATCTTCTTTTAAGTTATTAGTAAATTTATGTTTTGCGTCGTGGTTTGGGTTAACTCCGGTATCATTTGGTTTAAGAGCTAACACAGCTCTGGTCTTATCTTAAGGTTTTCTAGCATCCGCACCCCTACCCAAACCAATATTTTTTTTTCCACTTTCTTTTCGTCCTCGCAAACGACATGAAGATAGGGCTGACGATCTCAACCCGTTCCACAGGGAAGATGCGAGCGACAAAGAATGCTGTCAATGCCATTTCGGCATCCAATACCAGAGGTGACCACGAGAAGAACCCGGAGACCACCGAGACTTCGGCGTTAAAATATATCTTTCAGAATTTGATGGCGGCATGAATCCAGATGAATTCCTTGACTGGCTGCGTGCGATCGAACAAACTTTTGAGTACAAGGATATACCTGAAGATAAGCGGGTCAAGCTAGCAGCTATTAAACTGAAAAAGCAGACCTCGTTATGGTGGGACAACCCGCAACGTCAACGAACGAGGAACAATAGCGTTAAAATCACAAAGTGGGACAAAATGAAGAAAGCATTGCTGCGGAAATACCTGCCTTCACACTACTACTAAGATATGTCCCGAAGTTCCACAACCTACAAAAGAGAGAGATGTCTGTAGTGGAATTCATTGCTAAATTTGATCAATTATAAATATAGTGCGACTTGGTCGAACAAGAGGAGTATACCATCACTCGCTACCTTGGACGCCTGAGGCCCACCATTAGCTATGTTTTTTTCGCTAAGTGACATGCAAACCTTTGCCTTGAAAGTTGAAAGGCAACAAAAGGAGGCCAGATCACAGTCTTCCTTCCTGCAGCAATCCTCATACAAGCCAACCTCAACAACTACAACTACCGACAAAGGCAAGCTAGGAATGGGAAAACCAGCATCCATGAATGCAAAAACTGATCCAAGCAAAAAAGAAATCCGAGAAAGGTAGCTCTTCAGGGCCAATGGCAGCCAGATAGCGTTTTAAATGCCATGGTTTCGGCCATATTGCCTCCAGCTGTCCCACAAGTCGAATTGTCTCTTTTACTGACCAAGGTGTCATGGAGAAAAGCGATGATGAAGAAACAGAAGAAACTTCCTAAGAATCACTTTAGCTCCCAAAGGATGAAGGCAAATTACTAGTCATACAACAAGTCTTACAATCTATAATGGAGAGTTTGTAGCTTGATAATCGACAGTGGTAGTTGTGATTGTCGTATCAACAATAATGGTGACCAAGTTAGAATTACCAATGCAAAAACAACCCCAACCCCATTCCCTTACTTGACTAAAAAAAGGGAATGAAATCAACATGGATTAGCAATGCATTGTTGAGTTCTCGATAGACAACCAATTAAAGGAACAAGTATGGTGTGACATCGTTCTTGTGGATGCATGCCATATTCTATTGGGACGACTTTGACAATTCGACCACAAAGCTCAACATGACGTATTTAAAAACACATACTCATTCAAGAAAAATGACAAGCACATCATATTTCTATCAAGTAAAGACGCACGAGGAATCAACAACACCAAGGAGATAGTCGTTCCAAGAGCCACATTCATGCAGTCAGTTCAACCCTAGTAGCACCACTGAGGAGATAATTGTTGGAAACTTTATCGAGAGGAAATGACATAATTCAGCTTATGAGAAATTCACAAAGAGATGTTCAGGAATTTTCTTATGGAAAATTTTGCAATGAGAAATCTTTCAACTACAACAAAGGCTTGCCACCTTCAAGAGGACACAATCCATAAAAGTCACCTGTGGTCACTATTGTGATTCATCAGATTGAAAAGATGAAGCGAATCCCTTCCACAGAGCAGTTTCTAGTGGTGAAGAACTAATACTCTAAGATTTGTCATGGAATCAGAGAATTTAGAATTTAGGAATGCAGGATAACTTGCCATATTTTAACGACCACATGGATTCAGACAAGTTCATTGAGTGACTCTAGGTTGTGGAGGATATCCCATCGTACTGAATGGTAAAGGTAGCCACCACCAAATTAAAGAAGAGTGCGTTGCTGTGGTGGGAAAATTTGAAGCACCAACGTCAATGAAATTTGAAAAATAAAATCATTATCTTGTCCAAGATGAAACAAGTGATGCAGTGCAAGTACCTTCCAGTTCATCAAAACTGAACATGTTCTTGAGACAATATCTCCCGTAAAGGGTGTGCCAATATAGTATTAAACATAAAAAAAGTACATAAGGTACAAAAAGCATGCCCTTAGGCAAGACCAATAGAGGTCTTATCACCATGGAGTATGTCAAATGCTCCAATGATTTTGGAGCTGAAGTAAAAGAAAAAGCTATGTAGAAAAGTCTTTTGGGCACAAATATGCGTAGCTTAATTAAGCCCTAAAGAATAAAATGGAAAATAGCTTGTATAAAAGAGTAAGGAAGCAAACTTGTCTTTTAGGTTTGGCTGCAGTCTCCAAAATCTTTTCTCTTTATTATGGCTGAATAGTCTGTCACATCTTACATGCAGAGTTCAATCCGAAGATCAAGCTATAAGAGAACACCTAGGGAAACATCAAGCTGACCCCGCCTGAGGAGAAATTAGTTCAAAGGTGAGTAATATGTGGAGTCAACCAACATTCCCAAATCCATTCCAACCAGGAAGTTTGTCAAGTAACATGGTTTTGGCACATGCATCAGATTGTCTAAATAGGAGTATGGTCTATTTCATTGACCAGAAAGCGATTGAAAAAATAGACGGTTATTTAGGAGAGGTTGAAGACATCAAAGATGAGTTTGAACTTCAAGCTGATAGGGAAGAGATACTAGAAAATCCAGTTGAGCCCAGGAGAGAGACTCAAACTGGATTAGCTTTGGTTGTTACATTGTGAGTCTTAGGAGTCGATACCAGAAATGGGATAGCCTCTGCGGAAGAAAGTGTCATACATCATGATCGATAGTTTACCTATTGGATGTTTGCCACTGAAAGTGATCCAGCATCACATATATTTCATTCTAAAATTTGTTCTTCCAGACAAATTTGTTTATTGAATTGGCCCAGTCGAGTCCAAGGAACGGAAGAAGCGAATTACAAATTTAATGGCTCGAGAGTTACCTTGTGAAAGATTTAACTCAAGTAAAGTGTATTAAAGATGAAAATCAAAAAGTGTTTTTCTTAGAAAAAGATATTCAAAATAGGTGGGTGAGTAATTTTGAAAAGTTTTTTAATGACATTTTGGAAAATACGTGAGGAAACATGTGTGCTGGTCAATGACTAATATGAGTAATGACATTAATGATAAATAAACATGCTTAAATTGTTAAATATTAGTAAAAAAAGAAGTTGTAGAGGTTTTAAAGAAAAC